CTTTTTTGTCTTGAAAGGATAGGAGTATTCCTAGTTAGTAGCAATTATCACAGCTTAAATGGTAGGGACATTTAAAATGAGATTTGTAAGAGTGCTCACTTGTTTGAAACAGTCAGTCAGGAAATCTGTCCTCTTTTTTGCTTTTCAAAAAACCCTAGATTTTATGGCAGAGGGGTGTCCTTTGTAATTTAATCTTTATTGTATTAAAGAAAAGACAGACATTTGAACCTTGCTGTAAATCTTTCTCTCCCCTCTAGAATTTTTCCCCCTGTTTATGCATCCTGGTACTGGAAGTACTGGTAGAGGTGTGGCTCATCAGACCCCAAAGAAATGTGTTGACACGACCTACCTAAACTAGCATGAAGGAATAACAGAATAGGAAGATAACGCTGCAGCACAACCATATATGCTTGCTTTAAAGATAACTTGATAAATGGGCTTTTATCATTGAACTCCTTGTCATTGGCCACAGCATATCTTTATTGTTTCCAAACCGCTTCTGCTACTTCCTGTTTCCTGCTCTCAGGCATTGACCAACAGCCTATGGTTACTACCCGGACAGCTTGTGCCTAACACAAGTTTACTCAAAAAAACCCTCATTCTGTCCTGAACTTGATGCAAAAAAACCTGTGGGACACATTTCTGTTCCACATCCCTTTGATGACCCTTTGTGAATATTTGTGGACTTAATTTGTGAAGGCACACATGTTCCAATTAGGTACGTTTTTAATACACGTTCAGTACATACTGCAATCTGAGCCTCATAGTGCCAACAGTGTTGCCTGGTACCCACAAAGCATCTCTGCCGCAAAGCCAACACCGAGTCCTTGCTTTCCTCCACCTCACCTGAAGAAGAAGAAGTTGTTTTTTATACCTTGCTTTTCTCTACCGTAAGGAGTCTCAAAGTGGCTTACAGTCACCTTCCCTTCCCCTCTCCCAACAGACCCCCTGTGAGGCAGGGGGGGGGGGGGCTGAGAGAGTTCTGAGACTGAATTATGACTGGCCCAAAGTCACCCAGCAGGCTTCATGCAGAGGAGTGGGGAATCAAACTCAGTTCTCCAGATTAGAGTCCACTGTTTGTAACCCACCATACTACACCGGCTGAGCAGAAGATGCTTCAGAAAGCCCCCAGGAGCCATCACCTTTGGGTCTCTGGGTAGTGCCTATTCAGAAATAGCCCTTATTTTAGGAGGCTACATGGCTTGGGACATCCCAGCCTTTCCTGATTACTCCCATGGCAGCCATTTTCTGATTAGTCCCGCCTCCTTTAGCAGCCGTTTTATGACCGCACCAGCAATTGTTTCTCAACATTCCAAAAAAAACGTTCTCAGGATTTGGAACCCTCGAACTACAGACACAGGCAAAACGGTATGAGCCTATGGAAAAGTTTCCTCAGACGGGTCTCTGGAGAAGCAGCATGCAAATGTCCCGAATAAAATAAATGGCACAGCTATAATGTTTAAAAGCTACGTAAGGGCTGGCATCAGTGTAGAATTTGCCAAGGCTTTCCTGTTGGTTTTTTACATTATGTATTAGACTACAAAAGAGTGCAGCAGCTATTTCTGTGATTTAAAAGTGCATCTTGAAATACGTCTAGCTGCAGTCATCACTTCAGAGGTAAATAGATCACTTGCACAAACATTGTCACCGGAATTAACCGGCTGGTGGTGATGTGTGAACCAGTTCTTCATTTGACACATGTTCCACTTCTCTCTAGCTGCCTTTGACTGACATTGGCTTCTCTCTTTCCTCCTTCCTAACTGATGGCATCGTGCTGTGAAAAATTGACTGCACTGGTTTCATTCATACAGTTCTCACCTATTCCTTAGAAATTCAAGCTGCCTTCTTTCCTCCAGATATCTTTTTAAAAGACTTAAGTTGTGAATTGTTGTGAGTACACAAATAGCACAGGCTTCTGCCCCCGCTTAGTCCTAGAGAGGTCAAATTGTGTAGACAGAGATCATGCAGTATTCCATGGGTATTCCAATGGGCAGCCAGTGTGCCTGCCAAATACAAATCTTGGATCACAATAGGGAACCAGTTTGGTGTAGTGGTTAAGAGCAGTGGCCTCTACTCTGAAGAGCTGGGTTTGATTCTCCACTCCTCCACATAAAGCCAGCTGGATGACATTGGGTCAGTCACAGTTCTCTCAGAGCTCTCTCAGCCCCACATACCTCACAGGGTGTCTGTTGTGGAGAGAGGAAGGGAAGGCAGTTTGGTGTAGTGGTTAAGTGCACAGACTCTAATCTGGGAGAGCCAGGTTTGATAACCCACTCCTCTACTTGCAGCTGCTGGCAGGGCCTTGGGCAAGCCATAGTTTTGTCAGAGGTTCTAAATAAGACTGATTAACACATGGAATTCACTGCCACAGGTGGTGACGGCGGCTACAAGCATGGATGGCTTCAAAAGGGAATTAGATAAGCATATAGAGCAGAGGCCCATCAGTGGCTATTAGCCACAAGGTATAGATAGGGGCTCTGGGGCAAGTGATGCTCTGTCTTCTTGGTGCTTGGGGGGGGTCAACAGTGGGAGGGCTTCTAATGTCCTGGCCCCACTGCTGGACCTCCTGATGGCACCTGGTATGTTTGGCCACTGTGTGACAGAGTGTTGGACTGGATGGGCCTTTGGCCTGATCCAACATTGGCGTCTCTTATATTCTTATGTTCTTAGGTGTTCTTGAAAAGAGCACTTTCTGTCAGACTTCTCTCAGCCCCACCTCAGCTCTGAGACTCCGAGTGAAGGGTGGGGTATAAATCCAATCTCTTCTTCTTCCTTCAGGTAGTGAAGGGTGGGGTATAAAATCAGCTCTTCTTCTTCTTCACTCTGGCATGAAGCTCATTCTGGGTGACCAATATCTGTCACTCTTTCTCAATTTCATGGGGCCTGATGGGAGGACATAAAGGAGGAGGAGGAGGAACCATGTTTAATGCCTTGACCTCCACAGGGGAAGGAAAAGAAGGGGGGAAATATGATGGATGAGTATTTAAACAGCCAACTCTGGCATTTGCACTGAATGTGGGAACCCTCGTGCACGTGCTTCCCTTGTGGGAAGTTCCTGGCCTCTAGGAGTGTGAAGATTCTTCTGCCCCCTGAGAAATCTTAATTAGTCTTACCTGCAGTGTTCTTAGGGTTGCAAGATCCAAGTTGGGAAATTCCTTGAGATTTGGGGGTGGAGCCTGTGGAGGGCAGGGAGCTCAGTGGGGTGCAATGCCCTACAGTCCACCCTCCATTTTCTCCAGGGGAACTGATCTCTGCAGTCTGGAGATGAGCTACAATTCCAGGAGATCCCCAATTCCCACTTGGAGGCTGGCATCCCTAAGTTTTCTTGACGGATATAAAATTTCTCAGATATCTCATTCAAGAAGGAGAAGAAGAGATTGGATTTATACCCCACCCTTCACTCAGAGTCTCAGAGCGGCTTACAAACTCCTTTCCCTTCCCCTCCCCACAACAGACACCCTGTGAGGCAGGTGTGGCTGAGAGAGCTCTTTTGAGAACTGCCCTTTCAAGGGCAGCTCTTGTCAGAACTATGGTTTGCTTAAGGTCATCCAGCAGCTGCAAGTGGAGGAGTGGGGAATCAGACCCGGTTCTCCCAGATTATAGAGTCCATGCACTTAACCACTACACCAAACTGGCTACATCAAAGAGGAACATTAACTCAAAACATCAGTAAGGCAAAATGTGGGGGCAGCATAAGGATACATGGGCATCCCATCCTCCCTCCAAACATATTTAATCCCATTGAAACTCTGAGTCTTCCTTGGATCTTTCCATCTGAGCAGGACCTTCAACCCCTGCAAACATCCCATAGTAGCAGCTCTTCTGTGGGTACAGACCCTTTTGGTATTGAAGTCACTTCCCTCTCATGAAAGGAGCTTTCTTCCGATGCAAGACCTTCTGCTGGGAGACCGGTTTTAGTCACTACTTGAGAGGGACCCACAGGATGTACTCAAGAACCTGGATTCAGCAGAATGGTCCTTTTTGGGCCCTAGAAAACTGGTTTCTCTGAAGCGTAAGAGTGTGTCATTGACATATTTGTACAGTCTGGGCCAGGACTGGGGACCAGTTAGGTTGACTTGGCAGAAAATGAGATGGAGAGCAAGAAACAGAGAAGACCAAGAAGAAGAGATTGGATTTATACCCCGTCCTTCACTACCCAAAGAAGTCTCAGAGCGGCTTACAATCTCCTTCCCTTCCCCTCCCCACAACAGACACCCCGGGAGGTAGGTGGGGCTGAGAGAGCTCTCTCTTGAGGACTGCTCATGAGAGAACAGCTCTGGGAGAACTTTTAACTGACCCAAGGTCACTCCAGCAGCTGCATGTGGAGGAGTGGGGAAACAAACCCGGTTCTCCCAGATTAGAGTCCACGCTCCTAACCACTACACCAAACTGGCTCTCAGAGAGAGAGAGAGATGATTCAATGCAAGCACCTCAAAAGGGGAATCAAGCGATCCCGTCCTGCCCGCTCCACACCTCGGATCCGCAAGCATCCTGATCTCTGGGCCGCTCAATAATTCATGGCCCCATCAGCAATCCTCCAAAGGGCGCTTACCCGGCACTTTGGAGCAGCCAGTCGGTAATGTACAGCGGAGAGATCCCATCTTTCGACTCCCAGGGCATCAGGCCAAGCTAGGCTAGTATTGCATTTTCAATTAGCTCCTGAGTGAGCGCTTGGCATACATAGAAGGCAACCGATGCACAATTAGCTTATTGTTGCCTTCAGCTTTGTGCTGAGAGGGTGGGTTTTTATTTATTTATTTATTTTGAAGGACCAAAGGAAGAATAGTGGTGGTTCCAGCCAGAGGCTTTTTTTTGCTGTGGAATAAGAGGACTTTCTCCGTTCAGAGCAGCTTTGCTTGCTAACTCGGGAATTACAGCTGTTATTAAGGAGCGCTTGGCGTGGCTTCCGGGTCTGTGCCAGGGGATAATCGCAGGAACGAC